TCAATCCATGAATCATTTCTTTTTGGGTAGAATCCTTTCTAAATGAATTGTATCTACAGTCTTGATTCTCTTTATGAGAAATGCTAGAAAGAGGTTGTTGGGTATCTGAATTCAAATCCTGATTCTTTCACTTATTGTCCATATGAACTTGGTCAAGTTAATGCCTTATTTTGTGGCACATGAGTGTGGCACTTTTCAAAGTTGTTGTGAGATTAAATTATTTAGTAATTGTAAAGATTTTTAGCAGATGTCATGCACACAGTAAACATCAAAGATGGATGAGAGACAATATAGTGATTGAGTGTGGGCTCTGCACCTAAACAGGGGTATGAATCCTGGCTTCACCCTGACTTATTGTAGTCCCAATGATAATTTATGAATATTAAAATGCTGATGTTTAATCGCCCTGTTACATTATATTTCCTTGCAGCCTGCCCCATCCAAGGTTGAACTGGGATACTTAGGGACTCAAAGCGATAGAGAGTAGGTTTTGGCTTTTTGTGAGTAAGGAAATGCATGGAAGTTGAGAACTGTGAGGAGAGAGGGGCTTTCTAAATGCGTTTTGCCTCCCAGGAGGCAGGCATATGCTTGGTATTCTTAGCCTATCAGGGCCTACTCTGGTGTTCTAGGTTATTCATCTTCATTTTTACTGTAGGGCAGAAACTGACTTGAACTGATGGGATGCTATATCTTTGTTTTTCACACTTATTACGAATGTATATATGTGTGTATAAATACACATGCACACATAGAGAAAGAATGTGTTTCATTAGAAGTACTGTCTCAGATCCCATTGAAGGTATGCTGAAATATATAGTATATATACATGATTACCTTTCTAAAACACCCAATTCTGAATTCTGGAACACATCAGGCCCTAAACATTTCTAATGGAGCTTTGTTGACAACTGTGAAGACTCCAGCATTTTCCAGTTCCCTCTCATGACAGCCTAAGCTGTGGCTTGATAAAGTATGAAAGAGACATAAGACTGATCTTTGCCATGTAAACTCTGTGAAGAGAAGGCCTCATGAGTTGATCTGGCCAAAGTATACTATCTGACAAAGCACTGGTTGGCAGAGGTCTGGAATTTAGCTACCCAGAGAACTTTGTGCTCTGGACTACATACAGAAGTTCATGCCTACCTTGAAGAGTGATATATTAGTGAGCTATAGGTTCTGGTTGGTAAATGTGTCTGAGTGGGTCACTACAGAGAGAGGACAGATAGACCTATAACATTCTGAGTCAGAGCCCTAATGAGGGTTTTGACCAAATTTCAGGCCATAATGCCAGTTGAGTACTGCCAAAGCTCAAAGGGCAAACCTATGCTCATTAATTGCAAATCCTATTATCAGATACCAGCAGAGCGCAGAGCACTCGGTGACCAAGAGGCCTAGAGACATAACCACGGAGATGGGGAAAACTAAAGGGCTCTATTTAGCTATCTCAGCAACCCTTTCCTGTGACTGGGATGACTTTGAACATCAAGGGTATCTTAAACTCAGTGAATCACAAATTCCACTTTAAAGGTATTTTAGTAAGATGAAATATAAAAAAGAAAACCTTTGATTCCAAACAATGATTTCAATTTTTCTTTTACTTTATGTGGTTGTAGCATATCATCTGAACATACAGTCCTCCTGTTATATACATACATGTAAATAAGCTCCCTTCCTATTTGGTTTTGTATTTAAATTATTATAAGACACTTTTTAAAAATTAAAATAACTTTTAAGTATATTGAAATATACCTAAAATAAAAATATGTGTTTTATTCTCATAAGATAGTAATGAATTCGAATTTTAGTTTAAGATCATTTATAGTTCAAAAGCCTTTACATTTTTCTGAAGAATTTAATATATTCCTACTGAACATTTCATTAAAAATGCCACAGACAGAATATGAGTTTTTCTAAGTATGACTTCTATCATTTTACTAAAATCAGTAAAAATAATTTGTGCTTGGAAGGTTACTATGTTTCAGCTCCCTCTCTCTAGAAATAGAATGAGAAAAAAGCAATAATAATAAGAGATGATAGCTTCAAATGTTAAAAATAAAAAGTCATTTCCAATTGCACACCCATTATCAGCCAACGAAAATGCAGGACTGAAGTAGGAGGCATGGTGTGTAGCACTCTGAAAGTACCATAATTTTAGAGATGGATCAATGCAAAAGAAAAAAATACATCATTTGAAAGTGCTGTAGTATTAAAAAGCTTTGGGGGAAAATGAGGTTGCAGTTTGAACAAAATTATACATTTACTAAAGAGGGAAGAAATTAGTTATTGTCTAACAGTCAGCATAAAAATGCCAAAAAAACCATATAAAATCCTCTTATAACCAGCAACTTGAAAGTTAACCAGTCATATATCTTCAATTTATGTGTGATTAATAAACTTTATTTGAAATAAGAGAAGAAAGCATTTAACCATAAGAAACAGAGAAATAACTTCAACGATTTTAAAACATACTTAGTTTATGCTGTGAAGAAACACCACCAACAAGACTCCTAAAAGCATCTTTGGTAAGAGTGTCTAGTTGGGAACCATTGCATATTTCCAGGAAAGACCTGGGGTATTGGGTTGCTTGGTGTGCCTCCCACATTATATTTATGTCCACTCAGGACCTGTGAAAGTGCCCTTATTTGGAAATAGGCTCTTTGCAGATGGAGTTAGTTAAGATTAACTAGTTAAATACTGGTGTCCTTATAAGAAAAAAACAATTTGGACACAAAGACACAGACACAGAGGGAAATAGGCAAAGTGACAGCAGAGGCAGAGGTTGAAAGGACACAGTGAGGGGTGCCAAGAATTGCCAGCAATGTCCAGAAACTAGGAAGAAGCATTGGGCAGATTTTCCTTAGAGCCTTCAGAAGGATCATGGCCCTAAGAAATTAATATAGTTGGTAAACATCCAACACAGTAATAGTGTTTTGATATAAATAATGAAACTAAAACCTAACTAATGCATTTTCCATCTTGCTCCCATCACTGATCCTTTTTTCTTTCTTTCTTTTTTTTTTTTAAAGATTTTATTTATTTATTTGACAGAGAGAGAGATAGTGAGAGAGGGAACACAAGCAAGGGGAGTGGGAGGGGGAGAAGCAGGCTTCCCGTGGAGCAGGGAGCCCGATGCGGGGCTCGATCCCAGAACCCTGGGATCATGACCTGAGCCGAAGGCAGACGCTCAATGACTGAGCTACCCAGGTGCCCCTCGTTTTTTCTTTTTAAGCTGGTAAGTATTTATTTGTTGTTTATACCTTCAAAATAAAAGATTTGATTTTGATGGCATGTTGGATGACATGCTTACTCATTATTTTGGCACAGATTCATGTATTCACTATATCAAAATTCATTTACTGAGTATCTAATGGGTACTATATTCCAAATCTCACTTTTGATTTCTCTGATATTCTGAATCTTCTCATTTGCGATAAAGCTTCAAAAATCACCTGGCTAAACTGATAATGTATTAACTGTCCAAAACATTTTTTGAGTTAATTTTTTAAAAAATTTATCACTCCATTTTAGAAGAGAATAACAAGGCTTTTTCAGGAAGTTGTCACTTAATGCACAGGAAAGATTCGAAGTATTCTGGATCACTTGGTTGTTTAGTTTCCAGTTGCATTGAGGTACCACATGATGTACTTCGGCATGTTCTTGGATGATTCATATTGCCATCGTAAAATTTCTGCTCCTTAGGTCTCATTGACCTGTGATTATTGCTACAACTTAAAGCCTAGATTTGGGTATAATATATATTGATAAATAAACAACTGAGAACTTCTAGGAGTACCTAATGTTATAACTGGGGTAGAAGTGCTTGTTTTGTCTTATGATAGTCAAGGTGTTAACCACTTTGTTTTCATACGCATTGGGGCCCCTGCCTTCAACAATAATTGTTCCTAGATGTACCCATAAATGCTAAAATTAAAATGCTCTGCTACTTCCAACCATGTGTATTTGAAACCATATGCCATTTGACTGCAGATTGGAAGAGGGGAAAAAATTAAGGTTTAGTTTTTATCTATTAAGTTCGAGGGCTATATCAGGAGATTTTGTGTTCCTTAATTTTTTCATAGCTTTTGTGAATTAGGTATTATTAGATACATTTTGCTGATGAGTTTAGGATTGAATTTCTATTATAATATTTAAAATTATGTAGTACTTCAGATTTACATAAAACGGAAGGCCTATTTCATGAGATCCTAAATTATTTCCACCACCTTGTGAGGCATTATTATTCTATCTTTTTCAGTTTGCCATTTACATTATTTTTACTATTATTGCTAACAGCAATATAATGGACACTTCTTGAATACCTACTAAGTGTAATTCATGGAAGAACAAGGTTTTCTAACTACTGGGCCTTCATTCAAATCACAGTGTGAATGCCAAGCAAAAGAACAAACCAAACAATAATGGCTTATCAGTCCTTGTATTAGTTTCCCTTAGCTGCTTCAGTTAAACCACCATAAACTTGGTTGTTTAAAGAACACAGATAATTTTCTTACAGTTCTGAAGATCAGGAGTCTGAAATTAGTTTCACTGGTCCAAGACAAGTTTTGGCAGAACTGTGCTTCCACTGGAGGCTCTAGAGAAGAATCCATTTCCTTGCATTTTCTAGCACCTAGAGCTGCATTTCTTGGCTTGTGGGACACTTCCTTAACTTTGGAAGCCAGCCTTATAGCATCTTCCTTTAGTCTCCCCACTGGCTGCTTCTTTTGTGTCAAATTTCCTCTACGTTCTTTTTATAGACACTTGCGATTTCACTTAGGGCCCATCCAGATAATCCAGGATAATCTCCCTATCTTCAGATCCTAATTTTAATCATGATTGTGAAGTCTCTTTTGCCATTTAAGGCAACATTCACAGTTTGGATGATTAGGATGGGGCTCTCTTTAGGAGCCATTATTCAATTTATCACAGTGCTGAAAGCCACCTTCCAAACTTACCTGTTTAATGTTTTTTACCTATATGTGCTAGTTTCCAGTACCATCTAGATGATCAAATTAGTCACTTTGATTTCATGTATTACCAAAACACTGGTACCAAATATTAGCAAATCAATATGTCATCTTTCCCAAGAAACATCAGCCCCAGTGCAGACTCTGGCGTAGTCTCTGCCGGGTCCTGTCTCCCAGGTCCCTTCCCCAGTGGCCGTGAGGTCATTTGGCCTCCATCGTGGACAGCTACGAGCAACGCAACGAGGGTGCTGCCCACGTTATCGGGACCCTGCTGGGAACCCTGTTGACAAGCATTCAGTGGAGGTTACTAACTGCTTTTCAGTGCCGCACTATGAGTCAGAAGATGAGGTGGCTGTTGACGTGGAATGACATTACAGAGCACTGTGCTGATCCATGAGTACTACAGCTGGGAAGCCCCCAACCCCATTCACCTCACTCTAGACACAAGCCTCCAGAACGGCTGCATGAGCATCAAGGCCTATGTCAGCACTTTAATGGGTGTCCCTGGGAGGACCATGGGGGTGATGTTCACACCTCTGACAGTGAAATATGCATATTATGACACTGAACGCATTGGAGTTGACCTGATCATGAAGACCTGTTTTAGCCCCAGCCAGGTGATTGGGCTCTCAAGCGACTTGCAGAGTAGGAGGGGCATCAGCTCGCATCCAGGATGCCCTAAGCACAGTGTTGCAGTATGCAGAGGATGTGCTGTCTGGAAAGGTGTCAGCTGACAATACTGTGGGCTGCTTCTTGATGGGTCTGGTTAACCAAGTACCCAAGATAGTTCCCAATGACTTTGAGACCATGCTCAACAGCAACATCAATGACCTGCTGATGGTGACCTACTTGGCCAATCTCACGCAGTCGCAGATTGCCCTCAATGAGAAATTTGTAAACCTGTGAATGGGCCCCATGCAGCACTCCTGCCAGTCTGGGCCACCCTAGGACTCAGAATGGAGTGAAGTAGAATGGTTTTCTTGTGGTTTGAGTCACATTGAGTCAGTCAACTGCTTGTGACTCTAAACAAATATAGCCTACCTTTTGTAAATGAAAAAAAAATGGGGTCTGGAACATGAAAAAATGTTCATCATCATTAGCCATCAGGGAAATTCAAATCAAAACCACATTGAGATACCACCTTACACCAGTTAGAATGGCCAAAATGGACAGGGAAAGAAACAACAAATGTTGGAGAGGTTGTGGAGAAAGGGGAACCCTCTTACACTGTTGGTGGGAATGCAAGTTGGTACAGCCACTTTGGAAAACAGTGTGGAGGTGCCTCAAAAAATTAAAAATAGAGCTACCCTATGACCCAGCAATTGCACTACAGGGTATTTACCCCAAAGACAGAGATGCAGTGAAAAGAAGGGCCATATTCACCCCAATGTTCATAACAGCAATGTCCACAATAGCCGAACTGTGGAAAGAGCTGAGATGCCCTTCAACGAATGAATGGATAAAGAAGATGTGGTCCCTATTACAATGGAATATTACTCAGCCATCAGAAAGGATGAATACCCAACTTTTACATCAACATGGATGGGACTGGAGGAGATTATGTTAAGTGAAATAAGTCAAGCAGAGAAAGTCAATTATCATATGGTTTCAATTATTTGTGGAACATAAGGAATAGTATGAAAGACATTAGGAGAAGGAAGGGAAAAATGAAGGGGGGGAAATCAGAGGGAGAGATGAACCATGAGAGACTATGGACTCTGAGAAACAAACAGGGTTTTAGAGGGGAAGAGGGTGGGGGGATGGGTTAGCCCATTGATGGGTATTAAGGAGGGCACGTACTGCATGGAACACTAGGTGTTATATGCAAACAATGAATCGTGGATCACCACATCAAAAACTAATGATGTATTGTACGGTGACTAACATACCATAATAAAATAAAATTTAAAAAAATGGGGTCTGGAAATCCTGAAGGGGGTGCTCTCATGTACCTACCATTGCTTGAAACATGAATAACCAGCAGAAAGAAGATAAGAATTGTTTTGACAAGGAAGGTCATTTTTCACACAGGAAATTTTGCTCCTGCCTTTAAGAAAAAGGGGGAAGATCCCTCCCTGCCCCAATAACAATGCACTAACCACCGCTTGCAGCCAATGAGAAGTAGCCACCTCCTGGAACTCTTTTTCTTCTCTGATGAAATTTTGCTCAAAAATCCCTCCCCAGTTTCCTCCTGAAACCCATGAAAGCTGACCTTTCCTCTGTTTCTTTAGGCTTGCCTATGGTTTACCATAGTTTGCATGCCCTGAATTCTAATTCCTCTGCTATTCCCAAATAAATCCATTTTGCTGGTAAAATAACTGGCTGTTTTACTTTGGGGGCCAATACTATGATTCTTTCTGTATGATCTCCTTTGATTTTTGATCCATGACTCTTGAAGTTTTTGAAACATTTAAAAAGGAAATTTAATAAACAGATTTTCAGGGCATAAACCTTCCTTTAACTAACTGGGTTCCAAATGTTCAGTCACCTGGGAATGAAAGACTAATCACTTAGGACATAGGTAAAACTGTCTCTTCATTAATAGAGAGAGAAATGGCCTGAAATACAAAAATACCCACCATGAAGATTAAGAAATAATCTCTCAATGAAGAATTGTAGGGATAAAATAGAAATTTTATGAAGCAAAAACAGTTGACTTCATTATTTCTACTGCTGGTTACACAGTTTGAGAACAAAGTGTGTTCTCTTTGCCAATCAATATAAAAAAATAACAGCCTAGAAATGGTTATGCTACCAAAAGTAGAAACAACAAACAAAAATTAGAGTTTCCCTCTGTACCTCGCTTAGTTTTCATATCAGATAGGTAGATACACTAAGTCACATTGGGTGGCCAAGACCAGTAGCCATCAAAGGGCACTGCTAAGGCTTGAAAATTGGACCTGCCCAGTATCCTATATTGTTTTTATAATAATCAAATATATACCTTTTATTTTAAGAATACAACTTAGTAGTACAGAATACATGAAGCAATTCAATTGGCTATTTTCTTTAATAAATAAAAGATGCCTCAGATTAATCCTTAAAGAATATGACCAAAAAGAATTATGACCCCTCCCATCTTTAATTCTTATTATTGGTCTATCTCTGTCTATGACAGAAAGATAGAGTTAAATAATCACACCTGTTACAACCCTAAGATTGTTCGTTTAAAGGAATTTGCAAACAAATCGCTCATATCTGTCCTTTGGTATTCGGAAATGGATTCTTATAGAAGCTAATGCTTAAGTTACTATACATAGATTATTATTGACATTAAATGGAGATTCTTATCTGCTTGTACTCAGTGCTAAAAATGTCTAAGAAACATGTCCTTTCTATTTCCAAAGTGAAACTAGATAACCATATTGTATCACATTCCAAAGTGTATAAGAAACTGTTTTTTAAACACCCAAATTAGGCCATGTAATCATAGTTAGCAAGATACTGCCATGATAAAAAGTTTATTTTTATCTGTTTTTATTTTTCTTTGTTTTGTTTGCTTTTTAAAAGACTGCCTCTGGCCACAATATATTTGACATGACTTTAGAAGTCTGGATCAAGTATATACTAAAAATAAATAAACATAGGAAAGAGAATAGCCAGAAGCGATAGTCATTAATTACAAATCACTAGTATTTGGCCACTCAAACTGGCTAAACTTAAAAATGGTTATTGCACAAATGGCTGAACTAGAAGGAATAGAAGGCTAGCTAGTTACTCATATTTATTGTTCCCCAACTGTGTATATGGCACCTCACAAATTGAGATATTGTAGAATGGTTAAGCATATAGATGCTAGATTTAAACTTTATGGGTCATCTTTTCACCTGGATCCCTTTCTATCTATGGGACCTTTGGCAAATTGCTCAAACTCTCTGTGTCTTGGTTTTCTTCTATAAAATCCATCTGCATTTTATCTGCAGGTAAGAACATAATGTTCTTCATAAGGTTCTCATAGCTAAGTTCATAAAGCATTTAGACCAGTGCTTGACACACAATAAGCACCCTTATCATTAGACTTCACTCGCTTCTTTAGTTTGAGCATTTGACAGAGTTCCATTTGATACATAGAATAAAACACTTTGTTATCACTTCTCTTTCTCCTTTTGAGTTCTGTAATAGCTTCAGATCCCCTTCAAAAAGTAAAGTTTTATATATATATTTTAAGTATATTTTAAAATGAATAATATAAACAGGAAAGAATAAATAACCTATCTAGTAACCTTTACTTGTTAGAATTACATGATCCAGTGAATTTATTACAGATTGATTCATTCAGCAATTAATATGTGCTTAGAACTGCAACAGACTCTGGGGATGCACAGAAAAATATGTTGGTTTTGTCCTTTAGAAAACTACAGCGGTGAGCTAGATATTAAGTTCATCATTACCATGTGAAAAGTGGTATCGTAATGGTACCCAAAAGATGTTCTAGGAGCGGAAACTTCCTAAACCAGTTTTGCAGGCATGGGGGATGAAAGAGAAACAGAAGTTGAGGCATGGGTTGAGTTCTGAAGGACTGTAGGCAGATATTAAATAGGGCAAAATATACCAAGGCCATGTATGTATGCAGTCCAGAAGATGAGAACAAGATACCACATATTTAACATGACGGGGGTGCTGAGTGATTGGAGAGAGATGAGGCTGAACATATAAGGCAGCCAGAGTGCCTGGTATTAAGCATACACTTTATCAGAAGGTTTTGGGGAGATTGATGTATTAGTCAGCATTCTCCAAAGTAACAGAAAATACATGTATGCATACCTAGATCTGTGTCTCCATATCTATCATATCTATCTACCTATCTAGCTATATATCTATCATCTATCAATTATCTATCCATCATCTGTTTATCTATCATCTATCTATCTATCATCTATCTATTATCTATCATCTATCAATCAAAATAGAGAGAGAGAGAGCTGACAACTCAGGCAGGCAGGGTCTGTATTTTTAAATCTTGAAGAGAATTGATTTTTCTTCATGAAATCTATCTTTGCTTTTAAGGCCTTCAACTGATTGGATGAAGCCCACACACACTACAAGGTAATGTGCTTTACTCAAGGTCTAGTAATCTGAATGTTAATCACATTTTTAAAAAATATCTTTACAGCAACATCCAGAGTACTATTTTATCAAACAACTAAGCACTATAGCCTAGCCAAGTTGACATATAAATTAACCATTACAGGAGACACTGAATTTTTAATCAGGAGAGAGACAAGATGAGTTTTGTGTTCCAGAAGTTAAATTTGGGGACAAACATAGGGAAGAAAGAGCATATATGAAGATGGGAGGAATGTCACTAGGAGGAGGATGGGTGGCTAAAGATCAGAGAAGATGGTCATAAATAGTATTGTTCTTGTTTTGATCAAGAGGACCATCTAGGTAGTTTGAAGAATGTGAAGGAGGGAAGATCAATAAAAGAGGGTGAATGATTATAGATTTGATGTAGAAGATAAGAAAAGGAAGGCATCAAGAATAACTCTACTATCCCTCCATAATTAATTTGATTTTAAAATTGGAAGCTTTTCTATTCCTTCACTTTAAAGCAAAGACAAACTATTGCTAATTTCCAATTATAATTATCCCCCAGAAATCTTAGTTTGCAATATTCATCCTCTTCTGAATAGCGTTCTTCTGAAGTCTCTCCATTTTAATTAGTTCATTTTTCTTGGTGAATTTTTTAATAGGCCTTAATTAGTTGTGAGGTAAAATTTAAAAGTGACAATGAGTGCCAGCCTCTTTATACAGAGCTTTATAGTTCTGAAATCATTTTCACATATATAAAACTAGTAAAATATTCCTTTGCTATTAGGATATGATCCATTTAAGTTCTACAAGTGATTCTTAGTATGAGAAAAATGTAATACTCCCACATACCTTGAAAACACATTTCTCATTTCCAAACTGAATTGTGAACTGGGAACCACAGGCTATGTTATATCTTGACAAGAAATAAGGGAAAAGAGATGAAAAGGAAAGCTTGCTTTTTGCAAGTAATTTTTTCTCTAAATTAAAATTAAAGTAATATTTTTAGTAAGTTATTTTCTTG